CTGCCTAGTGTAAGCCCTGCTGCCCTAGCCCAGTGGAACCGCTGCTGCCCCTGCCTAGTGCAACCCCTGCTGCCCCTGCCTAGTGGAATCCATGGTGCCCATGCCTAGTGGAACCCCTGCTGCCCCTGCCTAGTGGAACCCCTGCTGCCCCTGCCTAGTGGAACCTCTGCTGCCCCTGCCTAGTGGAACCCCTGCTGCCCCTGTCTAGTGTAACCCCTGCTGCCCCTGCCTAGTGGAATCCCTGCTGCCCCTGCCTAGTGGAACCCCTGCTGCCCCTGCCTAGTGGAACCCCTGCTGCCCCTGCCTAGTGGAACCTCTGCTGCCCCTGCCTAGTGGAACCCCTGCTAACCCCTGCGTAGTGGAACCCATGCTGGCCCTGCCTAGTGGAAACCCTGCTGCCCTAGCCTAGTGTAACCCCTGCTGCCCCTGCCTAGTGGAACCCCTGCTGCCCTTGCATAGTGTAACCCCTGCTGCCACTGCCTAGTAGAACCCCCGCTGCCCCTGCCTAGTGGAACCCCTGCTGCCCCTGCCTAATGGAACCCCTGCTGCCCCTGCCTAGTGCAATCCCTGCTGCCCCTGCCTAGTAGAGCCCCTGATGCCCCTGCCTAGTGGAACCCCTGATGTCCATGCCTAGTGGAACCCCTGATGCCCCTGCCTAGTGTTATCTCTGCTGCCCTAGCCTAGTGTAACCCCTGCTGCCCCTGCCTAGTGGAACCCCTGCTGTGACTGCTTAATGGAACCCCTGCTGCCCCTGCCTAGTGGAACACCTGCTGCCATAGCCTAGTGGAACCCCTGCTGCCAGTGCCTAGCGTAACCCCTGCTGCCCCTGCCTAGTGTAACCCCTGCTGCCCTAGTCTAGTGGAACCCCTGCTGCCCCTGCCTAGTGTAACCCCTGTTGCCCCTGCCTAGTGTAACCCCTGCTGCCCCTGCCTACTGGAACCCCTGCTGTCCCTGCCTAGTGTAACCCCTGCTGCCCTAGCCTAGTGGAACCCCTGCTGTCCCTGCCTAGTGTAACCCCTGCTGCCCTAGCCTAGTGGAACCCCTGCTGCCCCTGCCTAGTGCAACCCCTGCTGCCCCTGCCTAGTGGAATCCATGCTGCCCATGCCTAGTGGAACCCCTGCTGCCCCTGCCTAGTGGAACCCCTGCTGCCCCTGCCTAGTGGAACCTCTGCTGCCCCTGCCTAGTGGAACCCCTGCTGCCCCTGCCTAGTGCAACCCCTGCTGTCCCTGCCTAGTGGAATCCCTGCTGCCCCTGCCTAGTGGAACCCCTGCTGCCCCTGCCTAGTGGAACCCCTGCTGCCCCTGCCTAGTGGAACCTCTGCTGCCCCTGCCTAGTGAAACCCCTGCTGCCCCTGCCTAGTGGAACCCCTGCTGCCCTAGCCTAGTGTAACCCCTGCTGCCCCTGCCTAGTGGAACCCCTGCTGCTCTTGCATAGTGTAACCCCTGCTGCCACTGCCTAGTAGAACCCCCGCTGCCCCTGCCTAGTGGAACCCCTGCTGCCCCTGCCTAATGGAACCCCTGCTGCCCCTGCCTAGTGTAACCCCTGCTGCCCTTGCCTAGTGCAACCCCTGCTGCCCCTGCCTAGTAGAGCCCCTGATGCCCCTGCCTAGTGGAACCCCTGATGCTCATACCTAGTGGAACCCCTGATGCCCCTGCCTAGTGTTACCTCTGCTGCCCTAGCCTAGTGTAACCCCTGCTACCCCTGCCTAGTAGAACCCCTGCTGCCACTGCCTAGTGGAACCCCTACTGCCCCTGCCTAGTCGAACCCCTGCTGCCCCTGCCTAGTGTAACCCCTGTTGCCCTTGCCTAGTGTAACCACTGCTGCCCCTGCCTAGTGGAACCCCTGCTGCCCCTGCCTAGTGTAACCTCTGCTGCTCTAGCCTAGTGTAACCCCTGCTGCCCCTGCCTAGTGGAACCCCTGCTGTGACTGCTTAATGGAACCCCTGCTGCCCCTGCCTAGTGGAACCCCTGCTGCCCTTGCCTAGCGTAACCCCTGCTGCCCCTGCCTAGTGGAACCCCTGCTGCCCCTGCCTAGTAGAACCCCTGCTGCCCCTGCCTAGTGGAATCCCTGCTGCCCATGCCTAGTGAAACCCCTGCTGCCCCTGCCTAGTGCAACCCCTGCTGCCCTTGCCTAGTGTAACCTCTGCTGCCCCTGCCTAGTGAAACCCCTGCTGCCCCTGCCTAGTGGAACCCCTGCTGCCCCTGCCTAGTGTAACCTCTGCTGCCCTAGCCTAGTGTAACCCCTGCTGCCCCTGCCTAGTGGAACCCCTGCTGCCCCTGCCTAGTGAACCCCTGCTGCCCCTGCCTAGTGGAATCCCTGCTGCCCTTGCCTAGTGTAACCCCTGCTGCCCCTGCCTAGTGGAACCCCTGCTGCCCCTGCCTAGTGTAACCTCTGCTGCCCTAGCCTAGTGTAACCCCTTCTGCCCCTGCCTAGTGGAACCCCTGCTGTGACTGCTTAATGGAACCCCTGCTGCCCGTGCCTAGTGGAACCCCTGCTGCCCCTGCCTAGTGTAACCCCTGCTGTGACTGCTTAATGAAACCCCTACTGCCCCTGCTTAGTGGAACCCCTGCTGTCTCTGCCTAGTGTAACCCCTGCTGCCCCTGCCTAGTGGAACCCTTGCTGCCCCTGCCTAGTGGAACCCCTGCTGTGACTGCTTAATGGAACCCCTGCTGCCCTTGCCTAGCGTAACCCCTGCTGCCCCTGCCTAGTGGAACCCCTGCTGCCCCTGCCTAGTAGAACCCCTGCTGCCCCTGCCTAGTGGAATCCCTGCTGCCCATGCCTAGTGAAACCCCTGCTGCCCCTGCCTAGTGCAACCCCTGCTGCCCTTGCCTAGTGTAACCTCTGCTGCCCCTGCCTAGTGAAACCCCTGCTGCCCCTGCCTAGTGGAACCCCTGCTGCCCCTGCCTAGTGTAACCTCTGCTGCCCTAGCCTAGTGTAACCCCTGCTGCCCCTGCCTAGTGGAACCCCTGCTGCCCCTGCCTAGTGAACCCCTGCTGCCCCTGCCTAGTGCAACCCCTGCTGCCCTTGCTTAGTGTAACCCCTGCTGCCCCTGCCTAGTGGAACCCCTGCTGCCCCTGCCTAGTGTAACTTCTGCTGCCCTAGCCTAGTGTAACCCCTTCTGCCCCTGCCTAGTGGAACCCCTGCTGTGACTGCTTAATGGAACCCCTGCTGCCCGTGCCTAGTGGAACCCCTGCTGCCCCTGCCTAGTGTAACCCCTGCTGTGACTGCTTAATGAAACCCCTACTGCCCCTGCTTAGTGGAACCCCTGCTGTCTCTGCCTAGTGTAACCCCTGCTGCCCCTGCCTAGTGGAACCCTTGTTGCCCCTGCCTAGTGGAACCCCTGCTGTGACTGCTTAATGGAACCCCTGCTGCCCCTGCCTAGTGTAACCCCTGCTGTGACTGCTTAATGGAACCCCTGCTGCCCCTGCCTAGTGGAACCCCCTGCTGGCCTTGCCTAGTGGAACCCCTGCTGCCCTTGCCTAGTGGAACCCCTGCTGCCGTTGCCTAGTGGAACCCCTGCTGCCCTTGCCGAGTGGAACCCCTGCTGCCCTTGCCTAGTGAAACCCCTGCTACCCCTGCATAGTGTAACCCCTGCTGCCCTTGCCTAGTGGAACACCTGCTGCGCTTGCCTAGTGGAACCCTGCTGCCCTTGCCTAGTGGAACCCCTGCTGCCATTGCCTAGTGTAACCCCTGCTTCCCTTGCCTAGTGTAACCCCTGCTGCCCCTGCCTAGTGGAACCTCTGTTGTCCTTGTTTAGTGGAACCCCTGCTGCCCCTGCCTAGTGGAACCTCTGTTGTCCTTGCTCAGTGGAACCCCTGCTGCTCTGCCTAGTGCAACCTCTGTTGTCCTTGTTTAGTGGAACCCCTGCTGTCCCTGCCTAGTGGAACCCCTGCTGCCCCTGCCTAGTATAACCCCTGCTGTGACTGCTTAATGGAACCCCTGCTGCCCTTGCCTAATGGAACCCCTGCTGCCCCTGCCAAGTGGAACCCCTGCTGCCCCTGCCTAGTGAAACCCCTGCTGCCCTAGCCTAGTGTAACCCCTGCTGTAACTGCTTAATGGAACCCCTGCTGCCCCTGTCTAGTGGAACCCCTGCTGCCCCTGTCTAGCGTAACCCCTACTGTGACTGCTTAATGGAAACCCTGCTGCCCCTGCCTAGTGGAACCCCTGCTGCCCTTGCCTAGTGGAACCCCTGCTGCCCTTGCCTAGTGGAACCCCTGCTGCCCTTGCCTAGTGGAACCCCTGCTGCCCTTGCCTAGTGGAACCCCTGCTGCCCTTGCCTAGTGGAACCCCTGCTGCCCTTGCCTAGTGGAACCTCTGCTACCCTTGCCTAGTGGAACACCTGCTGCTCTTGCCTAGTGGAACCCCTGTTGCTCCTGCCTAGTGTAACCCCTGCTTCCCTTGCCTAGTGGAACAGCTGCTGCTCTTGCCTAGTGGAACCCCTGCTGCCCTTGCCTAGTGTAACCCCTGCTGTCCCTGCCTAGTGGAACCTCTGTTGTCCTTGTTCAGTGGAACTCCTGCTGCTCTGCCTAGTGGAACCCCTATTGCCCCTGATTAGTAGAACCCCTGCTGCCCCTGCCTAGTGGAACCTCTGCTGTCATTGCCTAATGGAACCCCTGCTGTCTTTGCCTTGTGGAGCCCCTGCTGCCAATGATTAACAGAACCCCTGCTGCCCCTGCGCAGTGGAACCCCTGTGTCTCCTGCCTAGTGCAACCCCTGCCTAATGAAACCCCTGCAGCCCTTGCCTAGTGAAACTCCTGCTGTCCCTGCCTAGTAGAACCCCTGCTGCCCCTACCCTGCTGCCCTTGCATATATATACATATATATATATATATATATATATATATATATAAAATATATATATATATATATATTATATATATATACTTTGAGAACAAAGTAAGGGATTATGTCATTCGGTATCTCTCTCACAGAATAAGGTAGCAGCAGCAGCACACTGCTGTGGTAGACAACTTTCCCAGAACCACTAGTGCGACACCTACCTGATGTGGGAAGTGGAGACGGAACGACCAGGGCCGAAGGTAGCACGCTTGCTGGGGTCCCGTGTGTCGTGGTTGTGGTGGCGGAGACGACCACCTCCCTCCTTGGTGGGTGTGGCTCGTCCTGGTCCCTCCCTGCTGGTGCTCACTGAAAGCCACACCGGTTCATGTTTAGGTGGATAATTGGTACCCTGCTAGCTAACTAGTTGTTAGAATTATACTCATGGTGTCTCGTGTCTTGCTAGCTAACTAGGAGAGCAGAGCTAGGCTCATAGTGTCATGTGCCCTACTAGGAGACTCGAACTAGGTTCATGATGTCTTACTTTCTGTATTTAATTTTACGTGGAATTTTTGTCTGTGTAGTTACAAGACCAGTGTTACGCTCATGGCGTCGTGCCTTACATTTTTATTATTTATTGCTTACATTTTTCCCTGGGATGTGACCCGCAACAGTCAACTAACACCTAAGTACATAATTACTGCTAAGTAAACAGGGACGGCACACAGGAGACAAGCTTCTTAAGTCTCGCCCAGGTTGAAATACTGCCACACCTTTCGATTTGCGGCCCTTGAACCACTTTGTGAGAAACAATATGCTATTATATATATATATATATATATATATATATATATATAATATATATAAAATATATATATATATATATATATATATGCAAGGAATTCGCGAGAGCATGCGAAATATACACAAACACTGATCTCTGGCTGAAGGAGACTCGAACCTACGAACCTTAGGACAAGGTACGCGTACCTTGTCCTAAGGTTCGTAGGTTCGAGTCTCCTTCAGCCAGAGATCAGTGTTATATATATATATATATATATATATATATATATATATATATATATATATATATATATATATATATATATATAATAAGGTGAATAAGTTCTGTAATGCTTTATCCAGTTTTTATTCAGTATAATAATAAGCTTCTTGATTTACTTAGTAAATTAAATAATTGATAAGAGCATCTCACTTATAAGTGAAACATGAACAATTCATGTAAACCTTTCCTTTAACACTTATATATACAGTCAGTATAGTTTGATAATGAACAAACAATATATGACTGGGATCTCTGACACAGTGAATGAAGTACAGTACGAGGATCCTTTACTCCCTCATTAATCAGTTATATACATAAATTCACTACAGTTGGAACTGGTTAGAAACTTTATCACGAGACTTCAGCGGATATAGAACACAAACTTAGTCTCTTTGCCAAATTGTTTCACAAAGTAGATAAATACACAGGCGTAATCCACCAAGCATTTCCAACACAGACGTAATTCAAGAATCACTCGCTCAAGCTGAGAGATCCCGGTCCATAGGTTCTCCTGGAGTTTGTAAAGGGAGATTTTTAAAGAGCTCCTTAGGTGGGTGTCTCAACCATAGGTGAGAATGAACTACCAAGAGTTTAACTCCCTTACTCGACGTCACCTTGGAATGAGTGAGAGTTTGTGAGGCACAAACACTGCACGTTTATAAACCATCCTATCAGATAACATAAATAATTCATGAGGCCAAAGAGCCAAGATGTCATCAACACAGCAGAGCCAGAGTGAAGGGCGCACATCAATGGTAGGAAGAACACCACAGCAGAGCCAGAGTGAAGGGCGCACATCAATGGTAGGAAGAACACCACAGCAGAGCCAGAGTGAAGGGCGCACATCAATGGTAGGAAGAACACCACAGCAGAGCCAGAGTGAAGGGCGCACATCAATGGTAGGAAGAACACCACAGCAGAGCCAGAGTGAAGGGCGCACATCAATGGTAGGAAGAACACCACAGCAGAGCCAGAGTGAAGGGCGCACATCAATGGTAGGAAGAACACCACAGCAGAGCCAGAGTGAAGGGCGCACATCAATGGTAGGAAGAACACCACAGCAGAGCCAGAGTGAAGGGCGCACATCAATGGTAGGAAGAACACCACAGCAGAGCCAGAGTGAAGGCGCACATCAATGGTAGGAAGAACACCACAGCAGAGCCAGAGTGAAGGGCGCACATCAATGGTAGGAAGAACACCACAGCAGAGCCAGAGTGAAGGGCGCACATCAATGGTAGGAAGAACACCACAGCAGAGCCAGAGTGAAGGGCGCACATCAATGGTAGGAAGAACACCACAGCAGAGCCAGAGTGAAGGGCGCACATCAATGGTAGGAAGAACACCACAGCAGAGCCAGAGTGAAGGGCGCACATCAATGGTAGGAAGAACACCACAGCAGAGCCAGAGTGAAGGGCGCACATCAATGGTAGGAAGAACACCACAGCAGAGCCAGAGTGAAGGGCGCACATCAATGGTAGGAAGAACACCACAGCAGAGCCAGAGTGAAGGGCGCACATCAATGGTAGGAAGAACACCACAGCAGAGCCAGAGTGAAGGGCGAAACATCAATGGTAGGAAGAACACCACAGCAGAGCCAGAGTGAAGGGCGCACATCAATGGTAGGAAGAACACCACAGCAGAGCCAGAGTGAAGGGCGCACATCAATGGTAGGAAAAAGAACACTTTCGAAGTAATATTCTTCCTAAATAATTCATGGTCAAATAATATTATAAAGCAAAGCATCCTAATTTTAGCTACTAATAAAGATACAAATAATATATATTATGTGAAAAAGTCGAAATTACATATTAATCAAATGGTCCTTCTTAAATTGTGAACAAAGGGCATAACAAATATACACACACACACACACACACACACACACACACACACACACACACACATATATATATATATAGTTCCTTGATAATGTGAGTAGTCACGAAAGCGCTTGGAATTTCTCTATTCTTTCAGAGTGGTTGTTTTGCATATTCTGAAATCACCTGTTTACTGTGATCTTATTGCATATATATATATAATATATATATATATATATATATTATATAAATATATATATATATATATATATATATATATATATTTAACACATCGGCCGAGTCCCACCAAGGCAGGGTGGCCCGAAAAAGAAAAACTTTCATCATCATTCACTCCATCACTGTCTTGCCTGAGGTGTGCTTTACACTACAGTTATAAAACTGCAACATTAACACCCCTCCTTCAGAGTGCAGACACTGTACTTCCCATCTCCAGGATTCAAGTCTGGCCTGCCGGTTTCCCTGAATCCTTTCATGTTACTTTGCTCACACTCTAACAGCACAGCAAGTATTACAAACCATTTGTTTCCAATCACTCCTATCAAATACACTCACGCATGCTTGCTGGAAGTCCAAGATCCTCGCACACAAAACCTTCTTTACCCCCTCCCTCCAACCCCTCCTATGCCAACCCCTCCCCTGCTTTCCCTCCACTACAGATTTATACACTCTCGAAGCCATTTTGTTTTGTTCCATTCTCTCTATATGTCCGAACCACCTAAATAACCCCTCCTCAGCCCTCTGGATAATAGTTTTGGTAATCCCACACCTTCTAATTTCCAAACTACGAATTCTCTGCATTATACTCACACCACACATTGCCCTCAGACATGACATCTCCACTGCCTCCGGTCTCCTCGTTGCAACATTCATCACCCATACAAGAGTGTTGGTACAACTATACTCTCATACATTCCCCTCCTTGCTTTCATGGACAAAGTTCTTTGTCTCCACAGACTCCTAATTGCACCACTCACCCTTTTCCCATCATCAATTTTATGATTCACCTCATCCTTCACAGACCCATCTGCTGACATGTCCACTCCTAAATATCTGAATACATTCACCTCCTCCAAACTCTCTCCCTCCAATTTGATATCCAACCTTTCATCACCTAACCTTTTTGTTACCCTCATCACCTTACTCTTTCCTATATTCACTTTTAATTTTCTTCTTTTACATACCCTACAAAATTCATCCACCAACCTCCGCAACTTCTCTTCAGAATCTCCCAAAAGCACAGTGTCATCAGCAAAGAGCAACTGTGACAACTCCCACTTTGTGTTTGATTCTTTATCTTTTAACTCCACACCTCTTGCCAAGACCCTAGCATTCACTTCTCTTACAACCCCATCTATAAATATATTGAATAACCACGGAGACATCACACATCCTTGTCTAAGCCCTACTTTTACTGGGAAATAATCTCCCTCTCTCCTACATACTCTAACCTGAGCCTCACTATCCTCATAAAAACACTTCACTGCTTTCAGTAACCTACCTCCTATATTATACACCTGCAACGTTTGTCACATTGCCCCCTTATCCACCCTGTCATACGCCTTTTCCAAATCCATAAATGCCACAAAAACCTCTTAACCCTTATCTAAATACTTTTCACCTATATGTTTCACTGTAAACACTTGGTCTACACACCCCCTACCTTTCCTAAAGCCTCCTTGTTCATCTGCTATCCTATTCTCCGTCTTACTCTTAATTCTTTCATTAATAACTCTGCCATACACTTTACCAGGATTTAGGTCCCCTACCACAATTACTCTCACTTGGTTCAAAGGTTCCTGAACATGCGCTTAACATCTCCCAAAATCTCACTCTCTCTCTCCTCTACACTCCTCTCTTCTCCACTTTTCACATCTGACCCTTATTTTATCCACATAATCCTTGAATTTACACATTTATATTCCCTCTGGTCCTTCAACATTATTGCTATCCCTTCCTTAGCTAACTCAGATACTCCTGACATAATCCTATTTATTTCTCCCCACTGAAACTCGCCTGCCCCCTTCAGCTTTGTTTCACTTAGGGCCAGGACATCCAACTTCTTTTCATTCATAACATCAGCAATCATCTCTTGCTTATCAACTGCACTACATAGACACATATTCAAGCATCCCATTTTTATAAAAAAATTTCTTCTTCTGATTTTTAGTAAATGTGTACAGAAGAAGGGGTTACTAGCCCATTGCTCCCGGCATTTTAGTCGCCTCATACGACAAGCATGGCTTACGGAGGAAAGATTCTTTTCCGCTTCCCAAAGGACAATAGAGAGAAAAAAAAAACAAGAACAAGAGCTATTAAGAAAAAGAAGAAAAACCCTATATGTGTGGATGTATATATTTATATATTTTATATATATATATATATATATATATATATATATATATTTATATATATATATATATTGTGTATATTTCGCCTGCTCTTGCGAATTCCTTGCATTGTTAAAA